TCAACTAAAGAAGCAGAAAGGTTTATTTGGGTAAGAGGAAAGTATATGAAAATATGAAAAAGAAGTAAGCGACGATAGCAGTGAAACAGGAAGCCCGATTCAAACTATATTTTATCAGATAGAAAGTAATTAAACTTTCTAATTGGAAGAGTGTCGTGGTGAGATTAGCATTTTCTAGTGATCGTTTTGGTAGAAAAGTGAAGGATGGATCTAAATAGAAAAAAAAAATGGGGATGGGGAAAGATTGATGTGGCTATTGCTGAGAGCGAGGAGAAATGAAATGGGCCAAATCTAGGACAATGGTGGTAGGGATGAAAAGAAGAGAGTCCAGAAATATGCCATATTATCAAGCGGGCACAGTTAGTGAATTTTAGGGTATGGAGAGAAGTACAGGATGACTCTCAGATTTCTAGCTTAGGAAACACTGGGCTCCACTAACTCAGTATGGTAAAGGGAGGAGCAGGAATTTTGGAATTGTAAGAAAAAGTCATTACATGGTGGATGGGAGGAGATGGAAGGAGGTACATGATGCGTTCATTTTGGTTACACTGAATTTGAGGCTTAGCATGGTCACTCCTCACTTAATGAAACTTTACTAGACACCCATCACTCAGAATAAATTGGGGTGGGAGGGCTGGGTGTGCAGATACAAAATGAAATCTGACCGAGTGTCTGGCCTCCCATCTATTACTGCTCTTCCTTGTCTCCCCCCTAAGCTGTTCATTTTTTTCTCCCCACAATGGGAACATATGGACAACAGAGTCAGTATGTTTGAAGTGGTCAGGAGGAAGGAATGGGGAGGAGGATAGGAAGGGGAATATAGTTAGGCTCTGGAGTCCACCCTAAAGAAAGGCTCTTCATGAACTGTTTCAATACAATGTCTTCTAGAATTAATTGCGTCTTTAGTTTGTTATGCTTATTAACATAGCTAACTGTTAAATGGCTAAAATCCATCCTCTGTTAACTCAGTGACTATTACAAAACTGTGAACAAGGGAGTATCTAACAAGTTTCTGTTGACTACTTTATAGTGAGATAATTTAAAAGGTCCTAAAAATAATTACAGCATGTGAAGAGACAGTTTTAAGCTTTTTGGTTTTTGTTTTTCCTGGTAATTGGAACTTAGGATTAGTGAAATTTGTAAGTCAATATTATCTTTTTTTTTTAATTACTTTTTTTATTGTCATAAAATATATGTAACATAGAATTTACCATTTTAACCATTTTGAAGTATACAGTTCAATGGCATAAGTACATTCACACTGTCGTGCAACCATCAACACACCTATCTTCAGAATTTATACTACTCCGATTCTTAAAAAAATATTAACTGATGTAAGAATCAAGACCCACTCATCACATGCTTTTCTATTTTATATATTCCACTTAAAGAAAAGCAGAACTTCTGCTGTGCTCTAAAATTATATCTAGAGCAATTTCTTCATAAATTGAGTATCAGCTTATGGATATTTAAATTCAGCGAAGAATTTTAACATTCTACCATTTTTATGTTCTGTAAGAGAAACGTGTTATTCAGTTGAAGCAATGAACACTCTTAAGTTCAACCATACCAACTCTATGAATACTAAATACTCTCTTTAGTTAAAGTGAAATTTAAAGTTCAGATCTCCATGTGGTTCTAGGAAAAGAAGAGTAGGCCAGAATGTGAAATAACAATAATGAGCCATAGTCTAGTACAGTTCTTGGTCCACTGTGTTGACTGCAATAAATGTTTTAAATGAATAAGAGAGTTTACACGGAGAGAAAACTAAATAGTCGTTATATAAAAATTAGTAACTTAACAATTGTTTAGATCATGATAATTAATAGGTGAAATGAATATCCTGTTACTCGCTGAGAGAAAAGTTAACAAAAGAGTCATTAGAAGAGCTCGTGTGAAATAAGCTAAAAGTATTATAATGCACTAATTACATTTTAATAGATAAAGACTTTTTAAAGCTAGGGAGAGGCAGTAAGTGATTTATCAAAGGTCATACTCTGGAGTGGAGGGTCACAGGGGATGGCCTGGGGCCTTCTCAGGTGGAGATCCAGGGTGGGGAGTAGCCATGAAGAGTGCAGACAGTGGAGCCAGGCTACATGCGTTTCAAGTTCTACTCTGCCACTTACTGTCTGGGTGGAATCAGGCAAACTATTTAACCTTCGTCTGCCTCAGTTGCTTTATCCACAAAATGAAGCTTATTATAGGATTTCTGTGAGAATTAAATTTGTCAATACAGGTCAAGTGTCTCAAACTATGTGGCACAAACTAAAAGCTTAATAAATGTTAGGTATTTTTATTGCCATTAATCCTTCTTGATTTAAAACATGGCACAGGGACTAAATTTCCCTTCTCCCTGAGAAGAGTCCAAAGGAATGCAAAGTACTCATGGAAGGTGTTCTGTTTCACTGGCTTTCATTTATTCTTTTGTGACCCAGGCTGAAGAAAAGTGACCTTTCATTAAGACAAGAATACTGCTACTACCACTGCCACTACCATCCTGCATCATGACCACAATCACCAGTGATAGCAACTCTACCAGTTCATCATTACCACCATCACCACCATCACCACCACCACCAGCATCATCAGAACTACCGTCACCATAAGTTTCACCACTTTTTCCACCATCACCATCGTGATGTTACCCCTAGCACCATCATCCTAATCTTTACCATCAGCACATCATCACCACCACTGGAAACAACAATAACAAGACCTTTAATATCCATGTGAGTGTACACGTGAACTCAGAAGTGTCACTGGGAGAGTGAAGAAAAACAAGATGTAAATATATACATGCTAGTAAAAGGAGGAACAGGAATTTTTTTAAAGGATATTTGGAACCAAGTACAGAGATAGCAGTAAGCATAGGAAGTAGTCATTTTCGAAAGATTTTTTGACAAGTTTGTCTTACATTATTATTACATAATTAATGGATTTCACAAACTTAGGGTTCAATTAGCTAAAGGAATATACCAGGAGTAAACAAAAAGTCATATTTATGTGCTGTACACAAAGACTGAGCCAAACGCTTCAGAGTAAAACCAACAGAAAGGTAAAAATTAAGACTCTCATGTTATATGCTAAGCTGTGCTCTTTGAAATTGGTAGCTAACTAGTGGTTAAGAGAACGGGCTGTAATCAGAGTCCTGGGTTTGAGTTCCATTATGTGCTACATACCTGACCTTGAGTAAGTTATCTGACCTCCTAATGACTCAGTTTTCTCCATCTGAAAAATGGTGATATCCGTTATTTAGAGTTTGTGTGAATACTTAATGAATACTAATATAATGTTGTATGTCAATTATTTCTCCAAAAACCCCCAACTGTAACCATGTTACACCTGTAACCATGTTAACACCAGCACTTAGCACAATGCTTGTATTAATCTAAGATTAAGACCTACCTACCTCTAAAAAAAAATTAAAAAAAAAAAAATCTTGTCACTCCCTAAACACTTCCCCCCTCCCCCCAGTTTTAACCATGGAGTAAGTGGTACCTTCATTCACAGATAACAGCTACCCTCCATTCATCCCTTTCCCTCATTCCAATCCCTCATCACAAAGGGAACTCATTGACAAATTCTCCCTGTTTCACCTCCACAGTGTAGCTCAAATCCATCCACTTCCTGGCCCCTACTGCTGCCGAAGCCCAGACCACTCTGATAAACCCTGTCTCCCAGCTGCTACTCAGTACAATCCATTCTCCACACAGCAGCTAAGGTAAATTTTAAACATGTAAATCAGATGATGCTTAAATCTTTCAATAGTTTCCTACTGCAGTTAGAATCAGATGCTAATGCTTTACCATCATTTTTTCTACTTGATCTGTCCCCTGCCCATCTTTTCTACTTTACCTCTTACACTCTCACCCTACCTCTAAAAACTGTCGTTCCATCATCCTTCTTACTGTTTAACATACTGAGCTTTTGACCCTTCTTTCAAAAAGGCCTCCCAGACTCACTTGTCTAAAGTAGTACTCTTTGGGCTTCCCTGGTGGCGCAGTGGTTGAGAGTCCGCCTGCCGATGCAGGGGACACAGGTTTGTGCCC